GAGACTAAATGACCCCCACCTTAGAGTGGGGTCATGGACTGAATGACCACTCCACTTTGGAGAAAATTGATGTGAATGAGCAGATTTGTGCAAATTCTTGAAGATTTGCATGAATACCCCATTTTTGCAACATTGGCAGCATTCATAAACACAAACAGGATTCAGAGAGTCCTAGAGCTCTGGAACATCACTTATTCACCCATCGGCTGAGTCTGGTGCCTAATTCATGCACTGCCAGTCCCACTGTTCATTGGAGGAAAGACCCGTGCAGTAATGCCCCCACCATGGCCATCTCTGGTGAAACCATCTTTAACAGCTGCATGTTTCCGATTGCCCAGTCTCAAACAAAATACCCTAGAGCTGGACAAGGTGCAGAAAAGGGCAACCAAGATGACACAGGAACGCATATCGCTCACACACAAGGCTTTAGAATGCCATCAGGAATCCATGCATGCCATTGGACACTGGCCAGTCAGTAAAATAGTGACAGATGAATAAAAATCATCTATTTGATTTTTTGTAAATTCAAAGCTCTTTCTGAACATGTAGGCATTTCTGAATAGCAGTAAATTCTTATTTTTGAAAAATGAACTGAAATAAAATTCTCACACATTGCTGGTGGAGACAGCTAGCACAGAGAAAGCAAATTATGTCTATAGATGCATAAACCAGAAATGAATGAAAAGTCCATTTAATTTCATGCTGATAAAACATACCCAAATCAGCAAAGTTCTCCATATCTGGGAAGAAGGAATTCCAGTCCTGTGTGGGAGAAACCCAGATTAACCTATTTGTCTCCTAGGCTCCTCATCTTTATGGCAGGGAAGTGTGCCACACTCCTTACCATGCTGGGAACTGCAGCAGCTCTGGAATTTGGCTGCTGCAGGTGGGAGGCAATTTTGCTCCTGTTTGTCTTTTCAAAGAATTCACTAATTTCAAATTCTGGGGAGAAAGAACATGGGTATGGCTTTAAGAAAGTCAAGTGTGAGAGAAAGTGAAAATGACCATTCCTAGCATCGCCCATGCCTCTTTCTTGCATTCTTTCTCTCTCATGTCTTGAAGACTGTGAGTAGTTTCCATTATATTTTCCCATTGATGTTCTGAACAAGCTGCCACCTGAGTTTTGATTAAAGGTAATCAATCAAAAAGGTAATCAATCAATCAAATCAATCAATTTGATTACCTTTAACAAGAGCTTGATCTGCAGATATCAGTTTTGCTTTGCTTCACTTCGCTTCGCTTTTGACAGCATGGAGATAAGTGTGACTATTGGCTAATGTCTGCAAATAATAAAAGCAAGAGAGGTCCTTTTTCAAGGTCTTGGGTCCTAGCTCCTTAGTTCTTTCGACTGGAGTTCCTGAGAAGTCAGTATTCAATGATTGATGGGTTCATTTGGGAACTCAAGGGAGATTTGCCTTGGATTTGATCCTGGCTGAGAATCTACTGTCAACATTCCTCTGAAACACAAGGGAATGTTCTAGGGATGCTCCATAACCCTACCAATCTTGGCTGATGTTCATGCACAGACACACACAAAGGCCAGAAACCTTACACATGTTCTAAATCCTCTGCGGAAGTTTAGTCTTTGCCAAACACAACGGTAAAAGAAAAATCCTATATGCAGATACCCCAGTCCAATTTATTTTCTTAAGACAGCAAAATTTGTCTTTATAATCAACCTTTTTAATGTTAATTCAATAAAACTCCTGCTAGGTAAGTGGAACAAGTGTGTATAGTGCTCATTTGTAAACATTAGCAAATATGAATTTAATATTCTGTTTGTTCTATCCGTGTTTCTCAGATCTCAAGCTAATGGTTCTTTCCCCTCTGTTTATTTTCTCATTAATTAACTTTTAATTGTACATTTTCCACCAAAAACCCAACCACAAAGAGATTCATTTGTAACACTGCACCAAATGTTTGTTAAGGAGAAGAACTCACCCTCCTCTGCCCACTCTCTACTGCAAGGAGGCCACTGAAGAGGGGGAACCTTCCTCCCCATTTGGAGGGGCATTCAGAGCTGAGTCCGAATCCCTCAGGATGTCTCTGAAAAATAAAGGCTCAGTTCTGACTGCACCTTGAAGGGTGGGAAGATTTCTTATTTATTCATTTTTACTGTCTGAAAAGTTCTTTTTACATGGCCTTTCTCACACATGCCTTCTGGAATTATATAAGTACTTACAACTGCACTGAATGCATAGACTTCCTCCTTTTGGGTAATATTCAATTATAATACCCACTGACAATTCTGTGGCACCCTGATGGTTTACTTCCACAAGTAGGACTCATTAGCAGCAACCAGAAATGAGCGAGAACATTCATTTGGTTGTTTAGACGAGGTCACGAAATGGAACCAGGCCAATCTGCCCCAATCCAGATGTGAAGGTTTCTGCCCCTTTCATAACTTTCTCTAAGAGTTTAAATATTGATCATGCAAACAGTGAGTCTTTCTGGACTATAGAATAGGGAAGTGCAAAGGCCAGGAAACCACAAATAGTCAGTGGTCAGAAGAAAGGGGTGGGGAAGAGGAGGTGTGGCCTGAGGAATCATGGTGGGGCGGAATTGACCCCAGGACCTATACCCCTACTATACAGAGGGTCATGCTACCAAAAAAGGAAAGGACTCTGTATCGGAGTCATGGAGGAATTTGTGTCACGGAGATGCAGTTGGACAGCAATTCCAGTCAGCCTCAGCCAGCATGTTCAGTGCCTTTCTGGATAATGGGGTGCAATATAGCTCAAATAAATAATTTAATAAATTGTAGTCCAGCAACATCTGGCGCACCACAGGTACCACAACCCAGCTGCAGCTAAAAGATCAGCGGAGAAGTTTGGAAGATGATGGGAGCTCACCAATTCGGAAAGTGGATACCTAACATACAGGTGCTCCCACAAGTCAAGGACCCCTGCGTCAGTCTGCAACATAAGCTTGCGTTTGACTCATCTGTTGCAGGTTCAAGACGAAGCAGCTGCCAGAAGGCGGCCTTTTGACTCTTTCTGTGTGCTTGTCAAGTCTCCATTGTTTTCTAAAGTTCAACTGCACCAAAAGGACTGAAGCTGTGCTGTCAGTAATCACTTTTCCCCACTATCCCATCCAAGCACATGGGGAGGGAAAGAGAGAGAAGCTGGGATCGGGCCACAGAAGGTCATATAAGATCCACCCTTTGGTCAACGTTTCAGCTTTCACTGGATGTTATATTAAGATCGCTTAAGGATAGACTTCAGTGTTGGGAGATGCAGCTGCCCCTTTTTGCTGCAAAGGGCAAAAACAGTCACAGATCTGTACTGTATTTTATCCATCACACCACGTCTACCCAAATTAACAGTTCTTAAAAGGCAGTAGGTGGGTGTAAAAGGGCATGGCTGCAATTCTATGCACGTGTAAAGGCCATTCAACTCAGCCCTGCTCTCCACATGAAAAAGGGGCAGATGAGATCCTGCCATTTCAGACTGCAGGGGGAAAAATGGCTTCTTCAGCATTTGGTCTCTAATATAAAAAAGAAAATAGTGCATGGGTCTACTTTTTCCCAATTGGAATTTTAGGGTTAATTTTCTAATTAATATCACATACCAACCTCAGGAGTTTGAAATGATAAAGTCCATTCTTCCATCTCAGGACTCTACAACCCCATTCTTAATTCACTACTCAGTTGCATGTGCAAATGAGCTGATTACAGGAGAATGTGGATATGGACATGGAGGGATTTATTTTATCCCTCTTGGGGCAATCCAATGAAATTGATTGGCAATATAATCAGGACAGACAAAGGGAAGTACTTCACAAAGCAACACAAGACATAATGCAATGATGGCCATAACCTTAGAAGGCTTTTAATAGGGGTGGAGAGACAAATCTGTAGAGCAGGGATGGGGCACTGGTGAACCTCAAAAACTTGTTGGATTGTATCACCATCCATCTCTCATCACTGCTCATGTTTGCTGGGGATGATGACAGTTGTACACAACAACATCTGGATTGCCACCATTTTTCCCAACCATCCAATAAACCTTTGATCTAATCCAACAGGAATCCTTAGACGCTCAACCCGCATACAAAGAAACACACAACCAACGTTTTCCTGGTCCACCAGCATGGCAGCCTTCCTCAGCCATTTGAATCAGCAGAGTATTTAGTTTTGAGAGATTCTCATGGGTGCTCCCACAAACTGAGAGCCATGGGCAAGCGGTGCGAATTTGCAGAATTCAAACTCCCTGAACTTTTCTGCATCCCATCTCAAAGCCTGCTCCAATTTGAGTGCAGATCCAATTGTGAGCTTCATATTTTCCATTTCACATGAAAATCCACACATATCCCCACAAATTTTCACATCAATTATGCCCCCTTTTAAATGTACGGACTCTTTTCCCATTGAGTCTTCTGTACATATAGGGATGCATGAGGACTCTGCCTGGGGGTAGGGATCCATCAGATTCCTTGAACTCAGCTTCCTGGACTCCAGTCCCATACAATGCACAATCAGAGCCCCTCTCACGTGCTGGGGCAGCCACTCCTTGAGCACTGCAACTGATGCTGTAGAAGGCCAGCCACAAGGGGCTTGCCAGGAAAGCAGCCTTCCTCCCCCCGTGATCGCTAGCAGCACTGCTCCCATGTGCCAGGAAGAGCGACTTGTTTGAACAGCTGCAACGGATGGTCCTGAGGGCTTGCCAGGAAAGCAGTCCCTCACAATGGGTGCACAACAGTGTCCCTCTTCTGTGCTACCTGCAGCTGCCTATTGGGCTGCTACAACTGACATGATAACTGTGAAACTGGGAGTCCTCAAGGACTCATGGGCTTCCTCTTGGCTCAAGCCCACTTTGGAAGACCAGGCTGAGCACAAGGGTTGTCCATGAATGCTTGGCGGGACAGCTTCCAATAGGGTTTGTCCCAACCCTGTGCTCACATTTCTGTCAGCACTCCCCACTAGAGTCCAGAAGATTATTGGCCAGGGATGACCAAGCCATTGCCATGCAGGTGTGTGGTCTCTGGGAAGCATGCCTTACCCTGTATCCAACATCTTCAGTGACAACAGTTGTGTCGACTGTGCATCCCGCCTGCCACAAGGTCTCCTTTATGCTGCATCCATACAGGAAAACATTCTTCCTCTGAGAATGGCCGTGGTAATCACAGAACACCTGGAGGTGGAAGAAAAGAAGGTTACTAAATGTTGTCTCACCCAAGAGGGATAAGCAGTTGCTAAGAAACTGCTACCTGCTGACCAAAGGCCTGAAATATGCTCTTGCCCACCTGACCATGTGGTATGTGACATTGCCTCTGGACAGCCCTGCATGGAAGCTGAAAGGGTTGGTTCTACTGCAGCTGCTGATGTGATGCTTGGTGAAGGTAAAAGGTGGTTAAGAACAAGGGTTCAGTTCTGGACTGTTGAGTCCAGCTGAGCGGGTGCTGAGGACCAGCATTTTTATTATGGGATTCCCATGTCACTCTGCAGCGCAGTGGGGGTAGAATACTGGTAGCCACTAGAGTTGGTACAAATGCTTTCCAAACTTTTCCCTCCAGAACCCTCAGACTTTCCCTCATGCTCAGCCTGGCCATGCAAAGCAAGCCAAGCCAAGCGGAAGTCTGCAGATGCTCGCAGACCCTGGTTGTGCACCCGGCAGCCTTTCCCATCAGGAGCAACAGCAGAGTGCAAAAGAGGGGAGCTGAGAAAGGATGCCCCGGTTGCCATTTCGAGTGGCCGGCCTTTCCCCCTCCTCACTGTTGGTGGCCGCAGTGGCGGGCATGGAAGAACGGGGCTGCCACACAGCACGTGGGGTTCGGTTCCTGGCAAGCACCTCGTGGACACTGGGCATGCTCACCAGGAACTCTGCTGCTGCAAAGCAGACCAGAGTACAGGAAGCTAAAGCCAGGGAATCCAATGGATTCTCCTCATAAAAGGGATTCCTTGCACACCCCTGGTAGCCATACACAAAACTGGTGGAGATCCTTCCTGGAAAATTCAGGAATTCTTAGCTGTGGCCTCCCATCTATGGGAGATGCCCTTCCCACAGATGCTCACAGGAAACCCTTTATTGTTAGCATCCTCATCCATCCAGCCATCATCACTGTGCCAGGATCCAGGCCCTGTTAATCTAACCTGTTCTACCTTTGCTACTTGTTTTATCCTGCTTTCTTCGGCTGTTCTGATTATCCTTATAGTATGCTGGATGCATACTTCATTTTGATTTCCTTTGCATGTTTCTTTTTTATAAGCAAACCCGGAACATGTTTGAAGGGTGGGAGAGAAATGTTTTAATGAATTAGGGTGCAATCCTACACAGATTTAAACAACAAAAACAACTAAGTCTAACAAAAACAACTGCCAGCATGCCCCATCTAGCTGCCCAAGCATTCAGGGAAATGCACCCTAAGAGCTATGAGCTATGAATCGGGGTACGTCTGTTTTGTTTCTGTCCATCAGTGTGTGTATAAATAGGATTTACAACATATTATCTCTCAAAATGCACATCTCTAAACATATAGCATATTTTGAAGAAAAATACATTCAAAATTGCATTTAAAAGCACATTTTCATGTGGACTGTTAAGCAAAAACAGGACAGAATGAAATTATCCCTATTCATAGCTCAGTCTCTTTCACATGTTTGTAAATATATTTTATCTAATAATCCATATTTTACATTTATTTAAATTAAGTGTGTGTGTGTGTGTGTGTGTGAGAGAGAGAGAGAGAGAGAGAGAGAGAGAGATGAGAATAGCATTGCAAAATGTGCAGAAGGATAGAGAAAGTTAAGACAGAGTTGTGGCACAAATCATACTGGAATAAGAAAATATTGAATTCCTTAGGCATCCTCAGCTATGAATCAGAAGTGCCCAAGTGCGCACATTGCTTCTTCCACAATCTAAGTAGCCTGCAGCAAACCATATTTGTTCTGCTCGTTTTCCCAATAGGAGGGTAAAAACACACCTATTGTGAGTCGAACTTCTTTCTCCCAGCAAGAAGAGTCTCACCAGTGCTTCTTTGCCAAGCATTGCTATTTTGCACACAAGTCTCTAGGCATGCACAGAAATGTCAAGCCCTCTCTGACATGCTTCTCTCAAAGCTTTCCTCCTGTCCCTGGGAGAGGAGTGCGGTGGAACCAGCACGCCTGCACTCCTCCCTCAGAGACCCCAACTAGGCCACCTGATGATCGTGATGATAGACTATCAGATGCACCCGCAAGGAGGCTGGAGTTCCCACCTGCTGGACTCCCCATCTCCAAATCTCCTCCCCCAGGTGTTGCTGCTCTTCCTCATTTCCATGGGCAGGGTTGACTGGCCCCCTCCACTGCCCTTGAGCTGATCTCCCCCATAGAAGGCACAGGCAGGTACGCAGGGCCTTGGGCTGCAGCAAGAACTGGGCCCATTTCAACAATCATCTCGTTACCAGAGTCTGAGCTGTCAGCCCTGCCAGAATGGCCAGCCTCTCGTGTATGTCCGAGGTTTGCCAGAATGTGCACGTGTGCATGACAATGCCTGACTTAACATACTTAAGAGGGAAAGATTCTAAATAAATTTTCTGGAACATGTATGTAAGGAGGAAGAGGCTGGATCACATCCACTCTATCACGTCTGGTACTGAATTCCTTCAGCAATAGCGGCACCAAAGGCTTCTGGAAAGCTTTCAAGGGGACATGAAGACCATGGTACTCTACCTGGTTATCCCTCCCAAAACTTGTATTTAGTAGTGGTTTAACTGTAAGGAGTCATTTCGTCAACTGAAACTCACATTTTTGCAATGCTCACTTTTAAGAAAAGCTTGGATCCCTGTCACACAAATTTGTTATTCAGTTTAGTTCAGATAGTGAACTTCAAAGTATACACAGCTTGCATCTAAACTACAGGATTTCTCTGTATGTGGTGAGCTAGCCAGTTTAATCTTCCAGAAGGAGATGTGTTAATTACATTTTAATCCTTTAGGGAAAGGTTGGCATTTGAACTCTTTCTACAATCCCTTCACTTTTGATTACTTGCTTATGTAAAAAGCACATCTGGAAATGACCAATCGGAGAGCCATACATAACACACTGATACATTATGTCATCCTTTTTTAAAAACTTACAACTGTGCCATTTGGTATTGCAAAGTGTGAAAATTTATGCACGAAGGACAGGATCTCAAATGAAAGGGGGAGGAAAAGTCATTTGGGGTAAGTTTCCCCATTACTAGCATTTAGTAGCTTGCTGTCTCTGAACTTAAACATCCCATCCCATCTAACAGCTGTCAACAGGCCTTTGTCAACCATTTGTCTATTTGCCATTGGAAACCATGGAAAGAGGTTAGAGACCCCACCTGTTCTCACATAATCACCATCCCCAGAATCCCTGGGAAGAAAACATGGACTGTAAACCAGTATACACTTGGAGTGTAGAAAACACCCTCAAAAGACAATTTCCAGTCCACCTACTAGTAAGAGCTGGGCAATGCATGTGCTTCTTTTTTTAAGTCCAAACTTCCCCTCTTCCCCTCACAAGAATCAGTACTTTATAATACCATTAAGTATGACTTGGTTTTGTTAACACTCAAAGCTTATGCAGGATAATTTGTGGGAATGCATAAGCACATAATTATGTGAGGATTCCAGTGCACTGTTATTTCATTGTGTATATCCTGCTGGAGCAAAGAACAGTGCATGACCTACATTTGTGCCAGAGAGTTGTGTTTCTCACCACCCCATCTGCCTGTCGAGTTCCACAACCTAACCTCTATTGTCATAGGGATAGATGGGTGGTGGTGGTTTTCTTTCATTGAGACCCAATTTAGATTGTCTCTATAAACAGATATTGACTTTGATCAGAGTGAAAAATCAGGGTTTATTGATGCAAGAGGCAAATATTGACCTGAGCCAGAGTCAGAACAATCAATTACCCAGTTTGCTGAGATAGGAAGTCAATACATATTGGTGCTACATAATGTCCCCACTTCTTTACTGCTGTATTGGGAAACCTCTAAATTATGAACATAGATTTTTATGGTATAGCTTGACTCTTTAAGCTAATATCCAAAAGAAAGCAGAAAACTGCAGTGAGATCAGTCTATAATTCCCTAGCACTGTTTCCTTTGAATCCAGAAGCTACCGAAGAAAAAGAGGTAGAAGTGCAGCAGGACAACAATCCAGTTAGCAGTTAGTAAATTTCTGAGCCCCTTTCACATGATATGGTGGCATGGGAGTCATCTCCTCATGGACCAACAGCCTCATTGCTGTGGGTAGGGATGGACGAGAAAATAATTCCAGTTCATTTTTATAAGGTGGTACTGCATTTATATGTACTGGACTGAACATGCCCTTGGTCCAATCTACAATGAAACTTGCGTATTTCAGTGAGCCGCCCCGAGGCTTTGGTGAATGGGGTGGCATAGAAGCTTTCTAAATAAATAAAATAAGTATTTCTGAGCTTGCAGTTTGATTTACTGACAAGAAATATTTATTTATTTATTTATTAAAACATTTTTATGCCGCCCCATTCGCCGGAGCCTCGGGGCGGCTTACAACAAAAAATTAAAATAACATTTTAAAATATATACAGTAAAATACAAATATATAATATAAAACATACAATATAAAACAAGCCGCCCTGGCCAAATAAAATTCAATAATATTAACATTTAAAATACTGCTTAAATAAAAAGGTCTTCGCCTGGCGCTGAAAAACAAATAACGACGGCGCCAGGCGGACCTCTCTGGGGAGCGCATTCCATAACTTAGGCGCCCCCGCTGAGAAAGCCCTCCTCCGAGTAACCACCCTCCTAACTTCTTCCACGGAGGGCTCCCGGACAAGGGCCTCTCCCGCCGATCTCAGGGGGCGGCTGGGCATATAAGGATGTAAGCGTTCCTTCAGGTAACCAGGACCCAAGCCGTTCAGGGCTTTATAGATCATTACCAACACCTTGAATTGGGCCCAGACTTCAATGGGAAGCCAGTGAAGCTGACGGAGAACTGGAGTCATGTGAACATAACGTCCAGTCCCCGTCAGCAGCCTGGCAGCTCTATTTTGGACCAATTGAAGTATCCGGACCGTCTTCAAGGGTAGGCCCACGTAGAGCGCGTTACAGAAGTCCGGACGGGAAGTCACCAATGCATGTGTCACTGTCGCAAGGCAGTCGTTCTCCAGATAGGGGCGCAGCTGATGAATCAGCCG